TTTGTCCAATTAAATGCATCTGATTAAAACTGCCAAACCGAAGAGGAAGTGAGTTGGGAAAAAACAACAACAACAACAACAAAAACGCAGCGAGAGTTGTGGATATCGAGTTACTGATTTTCTGCTTGAGAACTGAATTATAAATAAATGTGTTAGGTAGTGGAATTTTGTTTTGTTTTCCCCAAAGGAGAAATATTCACCACATGGAAACAAAATTTATTCAGCATATTTTCATTCTGTAATTGTACCATTTCTATTCTTAATTCTTTGAGTTTATGATTTAAAGTGAAAAACACCCAAACAGACTGTTGTGTAAAATTGACAGGAATGAGTGTGAACCTGGCTGGCAGAGACATAGGTTGTTGTAAAGTTAGCAATGGAAATAGCTTCCTATTCTGGAGGTTAAAAATAATGTATTTAGAAGGAAGTTATTTACATTGGCCGTTGAGAGGCTTCCCCCGGAGCCTGAGTTGGGAAAGCTGTGAACCGCACGGCCGCACGGCCGGTGTGCGCAGGAAGCGTTTCCGGGCCGGCGGCGGCGTGTGGGGCGTTCTGCGGTGAGGGGGCCATGATTGGGCGCTGGGGACAGGCAGGAACGTGGAGCTGTCTCGCTGCCCAGGGGCTTCTCGAATGGTGAAAGAGAGTCCAAAGTCAAGCCCAGCTTGTTCTGAAAGTTTGTGGTGGCCAACAAAGTAATCCCCTCGATTGCAGGAATGCTTTGTTTTGAGCTTCTCCAATGAGACCATCTTTCCTCAGAATGTAGTGCGGAAGGTGCTAGGGGTCCCTGGCCACCCCGCTGAAGCGGAGCTCCCCGTAACTGGACCAGTGCAGCCTTCAAGGACGTCTCCTGCTTGAAATCGAATGTGAAGTACAGAGCCGCCCAGCAGGGGGAAGAGAATTCGTATTTGTGGGAGAGAAAAGCCTTGTGGCTGCTGTAAGGAGAGCGTTACTTGTTTGAGCCTCTTACGACTGTGCTGCAACCTCTGCAGGTCTCCACTTCCCTTGCATTCATTTCTCTGAAAGCTTTCCCCCACTTTCCGCTTGACCTCAGGTGGTGCCAGAATAATTTCAAAAGTGGTTCTCCTCGGGTTTCTGGTCTGGCTCCTCCTAGGCCATGCATTAACATTATTTGGTGATTTATTACTTGAATAGCCTCAGTTGTAGTAGCAGCGTCTTCAGAAAAGCAATTAATAGAGTGTTAGGAGTTTAAAAATATTCTTTACGGACCCGAGTTTTCTTGCGTTTCAGAACAGAGTGTTATCTCGGCCGTGTCTGCAAAGAACGGAGGATTGGATGGTTGAGAAATATCCAGGTATTTTAGAGGACGTCAACTGGTCTGTTTAAGAAATGCTTCCGTTGGCGTGTTTGGGGTTGCTGTTTGGCAGGGTTGGGAAAGTTGCTCTAGATGCAGATTATCAGCTGTTTGTATCATTCAAGAATGTTCGGATCTCCTTATCGTGGCTTGATAGGATTAGAGCCTGAATGGACGACTTTAGTGTTTTGACGCACTCACCACCACCTCTGCACGTTCGGAGGGGGAATATTCTTGCTCACTGAGGCTGTCCAGGGGGTAGGAAATTATGCTTTGCGTTTGGGGCTTTGCCAGTAGATGTGCTGAATTCTTGAGGCATTTGAATCAGTTTTTGACCACTGCAACAAAGAAGCTGCAGGGAGGGAATGGAGAGATTAGAGTTCGGGAATAATGGATTCTTACCTCTTCGTGGTGTATCTCAAGATAAGGAGTGAATACTGTCCTTATCTATGAGAATTCTCTTGCTCCTTTCTGTTTCCAGACAGTGGAAGGATGGATGTCTACTGGGGGTGGGAGGGCTGCTGCTCCAAGTTCACTAGAAGTTGCCATTCAGAGGGCATCTGGCAGATGGGGCAGTGGGGCTGTGCAGAGAAGCACTGGCCGGGTGTTGTGAGATTTGGGTTCTTGGTTCAGACATTAGCAGTAGGTAGCTGTGTGTCTTTGATCCCAGCAGGTAGCCCCTCACAGTGTTAGTAGTCTCAGTAAAATGACAAGCCTGGCCAAGTGGTTATGATTTTTTTTTGTGGTTCTGAAAACCCTGGTTTTATGTACCTTGTTCTCTGCCACTTATCACATTGGTTCTAGACCAGTCTTGACTATCTAGAGCTTCTCTCGTATGACAAAAATATAACCTGAAAGTATTTACTTTCGAATCCTTTATTTTCCTGTGTTCATTTAGTGAGTGCCAATAAAGATCAGAGAAAGAGACTCTTTGAGGAGCTAGTCACCTGCTCTTACTGTAGTGATTTTTAAATCTTTTACTTTTCTTACTATTTATAGGATAGTTCCCATGTGATTTTTCTGAAGGATGAGATATTTAAACTGAAATCAAGAAAGGTGGTTTGCCAAAGGAACTTAAAATTAGCCCTGTTGTTGAAATTGATGTTGACTGCTTGGTGTTTGGTAAAAAGCATCTCTTCGAGAAGCCATTGGGGAGATGAGTAGTTCAGGGTCCTACCGGTTTCAGCAAAGATGAAAAATGTTGAAATCGAGTGGGAAGAAGGAAATGTGGCAAATCACAAGGAACCAGACTGTTTTTAACAGAGCGAATTCAATTTTAACTGCCTTTTTTCAGCAAATTCCATTTGATATTTTACATTTTCTTGATAATTTAATAAAGAATCTCAGGAAGGAGTTGCAGAACTTTAGCTTAGTGAAAGAGAATTTGTCATTTGTGACATTTCTTCTCTAAATAGCATGGGAAGATCAATGTATTAGCGTGTAGCTCAGGCATTACTAGTTCTAGCTATTTCTATTCAGAAAAGAAACAGCATGTTATGTAGCAAAACTTGGCACAATGGGGAGTTTAGGCTCAGTCCCTAAACATTCATTGAACTCTCCTGGGGTCCAGGCATTGTGCTAGGCGCAGTGGGGGACATGTGGATGATAAAACTCCATCCCTGCCTCCAAGGAACACCACCACTTACCTTTTAGAAGATACACTGATAGTAGACAGGTAATTGAGAGTGATATGTAATCAATAGAAACAAAACACGGGAATGTGGGTTCTGCATTCAGAAGATGCGCAGAATCTGGCCGATTCTCGCTGCCGGCAGTCACCTTGAGCTGAACTTCACACTGTCATCCTTCACCCTGGGTTCCAGCCTCATAGCTGGTCTCCCTGCTCCCACCCTTGTGTCTGCAGCCGCTTTTCCACAGAAGAGTCCTTTGAAACTGTAAGCCACATCATATCAAAGCCCTCCGTAGTTCCCAATTTCACCAGATGCAAAAGACCTTTCAGCAGTTTACAGCCTTGTGCCGGTCTGCATAGCCTTGCTCCCTCACCACACACTCCCAGCCACCCTCTCTCTACCCCTTCCCTCCCTCTCTCAGGTTATTTCTTGGACTTCCTCTCCTCCTGCTCTGCCTGCTCTGACCCTTACTTGTTCCACTCAGCCCACACTGGCCTCCTTGCTGCGTCACAAACACACCAGGCATGTCCCCACATCAGGGACTTTACAGAGACTCCCTCTGCCTGGAACGTTCTCCCAGAGGTAGCTGCCTGAACAACTGCTCACTTCTTCCATCTTTGCTCAGATGTCACCGCCTCTGTGAAGCCCCATTCTGACCACCCTATTTAAGATTGAAACTCACCTCCTACCGTTACCCCTCAAACCTCCTTGTCCTGCTGTGTATTTTTTTCCGTAGCACTTATCACCCTCTGGCTTACTCTGTGACTTAACTAGTTTTTAAGTTTTGTGTGGCATCTATCTTCCTCCACTGGGATGTAAGCTTCAAGAAGGCTGGATCTTTGTTTTGTTCAGTGCGGTTCAACCTAGAATGATCTAGAACAATGCCTGGCATGCTGCAGGTACTTCACAATTATTTGTTGAGTAAGTGAATGAATGAATGAGAAGGAGAGATTAATTTTGAGAGTTCCAGGGAGAATCACAAGGAAGAAACTTTTTAGGTAGGAAGTTGAAGGATAAATAGACTGTCAGGTTTTCTGGGGGAAAGAAAGACATTCCTGATAGAAGGACTATCTTGAGCAAAGGTAGAAAAATGGCAGCGCTCATGGGTGCTCTTGGATGGCAGGGAGTCCCAACTGAGCGGTGCTTGGGGGGCAGTTAGACTGGTAGTGGTGGATAGATAAATTAATGGATGGGAAAATCATTAAAGGGGACTCTCAATAGAGTGAGGGAACAAATCCCTAATCATTGCCTGTGTCAGGATGGCAGCATGTTGGTAATTGGAATCCACGACTCTCAAAGAAGTAGCGTGTATATCATGGGAGATGTCGTCACTTTAAGGAATCAGTTACGTGAATTGTGTTTGCTAATGAGGTCTGACTTTTGTGTAGAACTTGACTGTCTGCAAATCACAGTCACATGCTTCTTATGATTTAAGCTTCCTAACAACTGGGTGAAGTTGTAATATATAACAGCAGGTATTATTTACATTTTTGGATGAACTTTTCAAAAAAATCAGTTGCATCTTCTATCAAACCAGCTAAGCGACTTGCCTGAGGTCATGGAAGCAGAAAGTGGGGAGGCAGCTTCCCACTGTCTTGTGCCTCGCAATTTCCCACCCTGCCAGGCTTCCTCTCTAATTGTGATGCGACACTAAAGATATCATGCTGGTTTGTTTTTTTTTTTTTAACAAGGGAGCAAAGCTTCTTTCCGTTTCCCCCACCACTGAGAATAACAGTCTCTTCATGCAGTTACTTTTTTACAGATGCATTTTTCTCCCCCCGCCCATTTCAGCTTGTCTGGAATAATTATAGAAAGATGAATATGTTTCATAGGTGGGTGTGTTTTTACCTTTGCTTGTTTAGTATTTTACCTTCTTTCAGGCTAATGCCAAGACTGTCTGACTCAGCACCTGACATTCTAGTAAGGTTGTTGCTGTCTTTCTTGTGGTTGTTGTGGGGGGAGGGGAAGAGGAAGCATGTTCAACAACTCCATTTGAATGTCTTCAGACTTGCTCAGTGCTCACTGGGGAGTAAACCTGATCTTCTTACTTCCCCCAGATGTTAGTAGGCTGGAAGAGGCTGAGGGAGAGCTCAGTGAAGGAGAGCACTGGTATGGAAACTCTTCAGAGACTCCGTCAGAAGCATCCTATGGAGAAGTCCAGGAGAACTATAAGTTGTCTCTGGAGGACCGGATCCAGGAGCAGTCCACTTCCCCTGACACCTCCTTGGGAAGTGCGACCCCCAGCAGTCACACCTTGGAGCTGGTGGGACTTGACGGTGAGGTCCTGCGAGACTCGCTGCAGTGTCAAGACCACCTCTCCCCTGGCGTGTCTTCTTTGTGTGAAGATGACCCCCCAGGCTCCACGAAGCCCTTGAGCAGCAACCTGAGGCGGCTGCTGGAGGCCGGCTCCCTCAAACTCGATGCCACAGCCACGGCCAATGGCAGGGTGGAGTCCCCGGTAAACGTGGGCTCGAATCTCTCCTTTTCCCCACCGTCCCACCATGCCCAGCAGCTCAGTGTTCTTGCCAGGAAGTTGGCTGAGAAGCAGGAACAGAATGACCAGTACGCTCCAAGTAACCGTTTTATATGGAATCAAGGTAAGTGGTTGTCCAACTCAACCACCACCTGTGGCCTGTCCCCGGATTCAGCCATCCTCAAACTGAAAGCTGCAGCCAATGCTGTTCTGCAGGACAAATCTCTCACCAGGACTGAGGAGACCATGCGATTTGAGTCCTTTTCCTCCCCTTTTAGCTCGCAGTCTGCCAGTTCCACCTTGGCAGCCTTATCCAAGAAAGTCAGCGAGAGAAGCTTGACTCCTGGTCAGGAGCACCCACCTCCGGCCTGCTCTTTCCTTTCCCTGGCTTCCATGACCTCCTCGGCCGCCCTCCTGAAAGAGGTAGCAGCAAGGGCTGCTGGGAGTCTTCTGGCTGAGAAATCGTCACTGGTGCCTGAGGACCCTCTACCACCACCGCCTTCGGAGAAGAAGCAAGAAAAGGTCACCCCGCCGCCTCCGCCGCCCCCGCCACCTCCCCCTCCACCGCCACAGTCCTTGGAATTATTGTTACTCCCAGTTCCTAAGGGAAGAGTTTCTAAACCCTCCAATTCAGGTATGGAATCTTTTATTTCAGTCATCGTGTACGTTTTTGGTTTTTGTTTTCTTTTTTACTGTAAATTGCCATGTCTTCTTCACTGCTTTATTCCGTCGGGCTCCCCATCGGATCTGAGGCAGGAATAAAAAAGCAGGAGCACAAGGAAATACTTTAAGTAAGCAGTGTAGTGGGCTTTCATGTATGTATTACACAAAGACTTCACAAATAGCTTCATTTTTGAAAGGTAATGAATAATCTTAAGAGACGTACAGTACTCCTCCCTTTCATATAAATGATCTTTTTTTTTTTTTTTTTTCCTTACCAAGTGCAGGCTAGGTCCATACAAGACATATTTAATGGGAGAAGATCAAAGCATCTCTGTCATGGAGTGCATGGCATCACTGAATATAGGGGGAGAAAAAACCCCGCTGCTTTTGAAACAGTGGACAAGGGAGAGCCCACCCTCCTGCTGCCTCCCATCACAAATGGACTTTTGTATACAGTAACTACTCTGCCCTAATTTATCACACTATACACTTTTATGTTAGCATTTTTATTATTTTTTTGTGTGTGTGGAATTTCAGCCTTTCCCACTTATCCTGTTCTTCTGTAATTTCTTGTCATATAAGAACTCTAAAGAATATTGTCATTCAGACATAATCAAAGCATTTCCTGCAAATGCTTTTTTAAAAAAATTCAAATCCAATCAGATTCTAAAGGAATGTGCATGTGGAAAATTTGAATCATAAGTTTTTCTTGTGAGGGCAGTCTTTCCAAAGGAGAAGTCACTTGTCTTATGGAGCCTTGACATTCACAAGTTACTCATCTGAGGGAGAAATTTAGTCACTTGCGTTCTCACGGTGGAAGCATCACTTCTTGTACTGGTTTGTTTTTAAATTGTGTGTATGATAAATTCATAGTACTGGGATGGATGTATGGAGCTTCAGATGTCTCCTGAGGATATCCTGTCAGATTGGAACAGGAAGTAGGCTATGTGTGTCCTCATCAGTATAAACACTGCCGTTGTGTGTGTCTAGCCAACTTCTGATTATTTGCAGCCACATTGATGAAGAGTGCTTAGAATGGCAAATAATTGAACGATCGCAGCTAGCATCAATTTGATGCACTTATGACAAATTTCCATTTAAATTGCTGAGTGGGCTATATGGGCTAATTCTAATTATTTTAAAACTTGTATAAACAGCAGAATAGAACTAGGAAAATGGATATCTGGAACTTTTATGACTCTGCATGATCCAGACCATTCACTCCAGAGTTTCTGAAGTGTCCATAAAAATCCTGAAATGTTTATCAATTCTGAGTTTCATGACTCCTCAGTTCTTACCTGCCATCTGGTGAAATAAAGAGAGAAATGGCTAAAATTAGGAAACCAGGAGGAGAGCAAAGGGAGCTGGGTAATTTTGCAATGGAATAAATCACTCCTCATTTAGAGAAATTTCATTTAGGGGTAGCAGCAGAAAGAGAGGTATGGCTGTATATAACATGTAATTTTATAAATATTCTCCGTATCTGGTTATTGAATGAATGTATTTATGGTGTTTACACTATAAATTCATCCAGACATTAGTTATTTGGAAAAGCTTATACAAAATTAATAATCAATGTTAGTTGGCTGAAGACTCGGAAAGAGGTAACTGATAAAACTGTGGCTCCTGAAGGCAGATCATAGCAGCTTGATCATTGTGAAGTGTCTTGGGTATAACGAGCAGTATCGGTGAAGTATAATTTTTTTTTTCACTCAAGTGCTTAGATGCATGTAAAGATGTTAAAGAGGTCATGAACTTCCGGTGCACAGGAGACTTTCTGCCTGTTTTGTTGTAGGATATATCCCCAAAGGAAAAGGTATCTTCCTTTTACGGTTTAAATGCACTTAATTCATGCCAACATCTCAACAAGCTTCTCAGCAGAATTTTACATGGAAACCTATCAACAGTCGTTTTTTTCTTTTCTTTTTACTGAATTTCTTCTACTGCCGAAACCCTTACTATTTTAATCGACGAGTGTTCAAAATGATCAGATTGAAAGAGGGGAGAAAGGAACTTTCTGGATTGCGTCTCTGCGACCCCCTGCTGGCTGACTGGTACCCATGGCCCCTGTTCTCCATGTGCCTCTGGGCACCATCCCAGAGTTGGTGAAGCATCTCCACTGATGAGTCACTCATTTTGTAAAGCTCACACATGTGGGAAGAGCGCTGTGAGGACAAACACGAGGGCTCTTGACATGGTCCCCCAAAAGATGTTCCATGTGTCCATGTGGACGCATCCTAAATTCCAGTTCTGTGTCTGACCACGTGGGTTGGCAATAGGGGGAAGGGTGGCTCTGTGTACTTCTCAGTTAAAGCGAATGTTAACTTCACAGCATGCTAGCTAGACAATGGGTTAAGGAGAAGTTGATGGACTATTTCCATTCTGTTATTTATCTTCATATCGTGGAGAGATGATTTGGTGGCTGTTACCGATTTTTGAACCTGAGGAGTGGAAGGAAAGATGGGTCTTCTCCATCTGCCGCCCCCCCCCCCCTTTGTACACACTATACTGTTGGTTTCAGGGCAACCTGGGGCTAGATTCAGATGTAATTTGGCTTTACCGGGCAAGTATTATGAGAATGTGGTGAGAGCTGTCACCCATGTTTCTAAACATCTCTCTCTTTACTGTTTTTTTTCCTTTGCCTTAGAAAGAAATCTTCATTGAATTCGAAATAGATAGGTAGGCTGGCTTCTTGCAGCAGAGAAAGGGTGTCTGTTGCCTAATCATTTAAATAAACAAATAATAATTTGCAAAAAAGATCCTTAAAAATAACAACACACCATCCTGGTTTCAAGCAGGGCTTACATTTTAAAGCTGTTTCCCAAAATGTTGCAAAAAGGGCACAGAAAGTGGATTCTGGAGTTACAAAGAGATATGTGCTCGAAAAGCCAATCCTGTATTGAGTAATTTAGACACCAGCATTTCTTTGACCTTCTTTAGGTCAAGGGAAGTCCAAACCATGGGGGAAAAAAAAAGTGTCTTTTAGGTCTGACCTTATTCCTCCTTTTTGAACAGGATTCAGTTGTTGCCAGGTCATGGTGTATTTAATTCCTTTAAAGAGTCCACCACTTGGTAGCCTTTCCCCCCTGCAAGAGAGACGTGACACTTGAGGAGGAGGTTTCTTTCATGTGACCCTGCGCCCCAGCACATGCCACACTGTTCCTCTGAAAGGGGATGTGAGAGAGAGAAGATTATGTTCGTTTGCTATAAAGATAAATGTCACACATTGACTCAATTCTCTTTGAAGCTACTGTTTGTTGCCTCTCAGAATAAAATAAATGGTTTTTATTTTAAAGACAAAGTTTCTTGTAAACGGCCACCAAGATTCCCAGGATGCCAGGCTCCTAGTTAAAAGAAATAACAAGGAAAGTTTCAAGAGAGAGGGTCTCTGAAACATCTTATTTTACTGAATAAAATTTAGATATGCTTAGAAGCAAGCTGATGTCATACAACTGAAGGCTAAGAATATTTCCTGGGTCAATAGAGAGAGAAGTTTTCTGGGTACTGTTTTCCTTCATATTTACGTGATGCTATTAAAATTTATTGCAAAGCCATAGAAAGTCCAGAAAGTGAGGTAACCTCCTCCTCTACTCCCATTAGGTCCATGGTTACTAGAGCCATAATCTGGGAGTGATCACAAGACAGGAACTTGTTTAGAAAATTCACTTTTTAATCAAGATTCAGAACTATCTGTCACCGACCTCAGTTTTATTTCCCCAGCGATTTAAACTTCGACTGCCTCTAGTCTAGATATACAGCTATCTAAAACTTCTTAGTTTTATTGAATACTTAGCAATCGTTAAAATATGCCTTAATAACATCACAGTCAATAACAACAGATAAATCCAGTGATATCCATTGCTAACATAGTTTTTTACACCCTGAAATAGCATTTGAGAGACATGCCCATGAAATTCTATTAAAAGATATTAATTCCCTGTATATTGTTAGGAAGGAGTACACAGATGTGCACTGGTGGGTTGATAGGCCTGGAGTGGAGTTGGTGATGAGGGTTATGCGTACCCAGGGTCACCTGGCATCTTGAATTCCTTTGATGTGTATGGTAAGGTGTATATGCAGATACTACCTGCAGAGGACTTGCAGATTAGCTCGATTTTCTGCAAATTGCTACACAGGATCTAACAAGAGAAAGTTTAATTTCAAGGCCTACAAAACAGTTACATTGGTTTTAAAAATTCCTACCTTGAGTTCAAGCAAGTAAGGTAATGAAAGCCTCCATGACTTTTTCCCCCCAGTGATATGTGTTGTTATTGCTTTATGGATTTATATATAACAGCAGGGTAGAAGACCAAACCAGAAGTGAAGATATTGGCTCTAATCCCAACTCTGCCACTAACTAGCAGAGGGATTTTAAGCCTATACCTTAGTTCAGCTTCCTCATCTATAAACTGAGCTAGTTGGGAATGATCTCCAAGATTCCTTCCTGTGTTAAGATTCCTTGCTTTTCCTTTCTTATTCTTGAACTCTGTCTGTCAATTCAAAACAAACATAATTTTTTTTCTTCTATTTTTTGAATTAGCTATCTTGCTTCTTAAAATTCACCCTCAAACCTCCCACAAGATTATCTCTGCCTTGGGTAGATCTTGTCCATTGTAAATAGTCTAAACATTTTCCATTGTACCTTACTAATGGTGTAGTCATACTGCATGCATTTTAAATATCAGCTGCTCCAAATTCATTTTGGAAATAGGTGAGATGTAAGTACATGAACATCTCTCCACACCCATTCGAGACATGTATCAGCGTGCTATGTGAAAAGAATGCACTCTTGGGCTGACACTGCATCCACTGGGACTTGCTGGCAGCTTCCTGTACCCTTTTCTTCCATTTCCAGCACTCATTTCACTTTTTGATACTCTCTTGACCAAGCCCTTTCCAATTACTCTCATTACAGTCCAACACACATTTATTGAATTGCACATCATACCCAGGACTGTCTGGGTGCTGGAGACACACAGGTAAAGACCTCTAGCCTTGCCCCAGCCAGTTGCCCCTCCCGCCCCTTCCTCCCCTTCTGTCTTTTCCACTTCTCTCTTTTCCCTGCTGAGCTGAATTTGACCATCAGAGTTCTGCCTAGAGGCTGAGCTGGACCCTACCTGCATAGCACAGTGGACTCCTGCTCCTTTATTTTCTCCAGGCTCCTGTGACAAACCCCATTTTGGGCCAGGCCCTGAGCTCCGTATTTATGTGATGTCAGTTGTTTAAATTTACATCTGCTCTCCTGTGAGAGCTTTGGAAGAAGGTACGACTAGAGCCTATCATCACTACTATTATTGCAACAGCTACTACCAGTAGCTTTCATTTGCTGTGTGACAGGCGTTTTACACACATTTATTATCTCTCTTATTCCAATAATACTGTTGTCTGTGAGGAGAATGTGTATTCTCCAAAGAAGCAAAGTAGCAACTATCCATGCCACTGGGTCTGTTAGCATTTGGTGGGATTTAGTTTTGTTTGTGGTGATATTAACCAGATAGCGATCTGTTTGGGGGAAATTGTTTATCAGACAGTTGTAAACTGGGTGAAATAATGAACATTTCAATCCTATTGCCTTAAGAATGTGTGGTTCAGTCTGAGGAAGTGATCATATTTCCTTAGGCTCTAAATTTCAGTGAAATTTACAGCTGTCAGTTCCTTGAAAATAGTTTGGCATACAAACTAGAATACATCCTTACTTCCTCCCTTAGACAGGGAGGACATCCTACTAAAATATCAAAAAATGTTTAATAAATAAAAATGCACATGTACCAGGAGAGATTAATGGCCAACTTTGAAAATCGATCATTGTATTATGGTTATTTTTAGCATTTGGCTTGTGTCTTCTTCCTTTCCTGCCGTGATCAGTTAAAATTTTCAAACAGTTATAATAGTGTAGTGCTTCGACACATATCTTGCTGTTAGTTTCTCTTCGTTATGAGTGTTCTAATTCTTTTCCCAGTCAATGCAAGGACACCCTAATTTGTATGATTCGTGTGTCTTTTGGTATTAATTAAAACAAAGGAAGCATAGCTCCAAAATAAAATAGATTTATATGAAATGCTAATATGCAGGATTTAATGTAGTGTACTCTGTAATACACACTGGGGGGGGGTTGTCAGAAAAAATAAGGAAGATATTGGTCATATTAAGCAAAGTGGGGTGTCCGGGGGGCGCTGGCCATGTTCCTTTTGTCAGTTAATGCCTTTTTATTGCCTTCCTGTGATGTGCTATGAAACCTCAGATTAGTGGAGGACATCTCTGTTTTTCTGTCCTCTCCCAGACAATTCTGTAAAATTAGGCAGTTTGCAGGTTGAAAATGGGGATTAGGGGCAGCCTGTTTGTGTATGTCTTTCTTACTATTTTGATGTTCTTACAACCCCAAAGAGACATCATTATCATTTTCCCCCCTCTGGTTTATGACAATAATCTCACCTAGAGGCCTGGTTCAGCCTTTTCTCTCAGCTCTATTGTTCAATGTGTAGTCTTTGTGATCAAGATACGAGAGTGGAAGAAACGACAATGAAGGATAGAAAATGAGAAGCCAAATTAGAGATAGGACTCCAGGTCAGCAAAAGCAATCAACAAAAAACAGCAGGAAAGCTGAAGGCAGGTTAATAAAAAAAAAAAATGTTTATAGGCCTCTACAAAGTGTGCTTGTCCTAGAGCGAAAGAACCCTCCATCCCACCCCATCCCCCAATCAGAAAAGGAAATGCTTGGGACGGAAACATCACAAGTAGAATTTCCAGACTTGAAGGTATATTTTTAGCAGATTCTTTTTTAGGTTGCTTGGTTAGGGTAACCAGTATTGCTTATTATACCTGTCATAGTAAAATAGAATTTTTGGAATGCCCTAAGTGTATTCCAGAACCCTTCTGGTTTCATCCATGATAAGTGGTCCTTTGCATATAGAGACTCAGTTGACTCGAATAAATAATAAGAGGATTTTAAAGTTTACACATGAGAATATATCCTTTTAAAATTATAAAAGTAATGTGCGCATTAAAAAATCCAGTGAGTATAGAAGAATATAAAATAAAAACAAAAGTTTCCCTCTCCGACCCCTTCCTTTTAATCCACAGTTCTTCAAAGGTAACTGCTTAATGGTTTCTTGGGTATGCTTCCGGACCATTTTCATACAAATAAAAGGATATCATTTCTTGTTTCATTTACTCATCCCGTTCTTTCTACTCTGTCTTTTTTTGCTCAAGCATTTAAAAGCAAATCCCAGACCTCTATCCATTTGCCTGTAAGTATTACCATGTATATTATCTCCAAAAGAGAAGAACTTTAAAAAAAAAAATAATAACCACAGTAACTATTTATCACATCGAACAGGATCAATGATGGTTTCATGATTTTATGGAACACCTGGGTTACAATCAGTATTCCTTCAGTTATCTCGGAAGTGTCTTTTCATAATTGCTTTGTTCGAGTCAGGATCAAAATCAGCTTCACACCTTGTATTTGCTTGATATGTCTCCATAAGCAGGTCCCTTTCCCTAGTGCCATTTCCTTGAAGAGACTGTCATCTGCCCTGTAGAATTTCCCACATTCTGGATTTGGCTGATTCTGTCCCCTGGGCATGTGGGTTTACTCTGTTGTTGCTATTTTAACCACCTGTATTTCTGGTAAACTTCTAGTTATATAGAGGCTTGATTAAATTTTTTGTATTCCTAGGAATGCAGGAATACAAAAAATTTCATAGGTGGCTTATCAGAAGGCCCATGATGTCTGTCCCCTTTTCAGTGATGTTAAACTTAATGAGTGGCGTTAGGTGTTGTCAGCTTGATCCATCCTTTATAAAGTTTTCTATTAGCCTTTCACCTCACTGTATTAGCAACAATCGATTCTCATTTTTTTAGAAAACAAAAATAGAATCTGCCTAAATATAAGTTCCTATCTTGCTTTATCCACTAACTCTAATATCTTGGGTATGTTTCTATGTCAGCATCTATAGATCTAGTTCATTTTTGAAAATGGCTTCATATATTTTATGAGTGTATTACGACTTATTTAATCAGTTTGGAAATATTTCAGATCCCTCATGATGAAGAAAGGAAGGTCTGAGTCTTCAACTCTACTTGTTTTGATTTACTATATCCCCCAATTGCAGAAGCTAGTGCGGCACTGAGCAATAGAAATTGATGAACCAGAGGGTAGCAACACAGTGTCACAGTGGAGACCCTTTCCTGCGGGAATGGAGGAGGAGAGAGTTATCTTAGCTTTCCTTGGAGGAAGTAGTTGGTTTGTTTGCTTTCCTGAAAAACTGAAGCATTTGTGACTGCCTTGTTGTAGCTCTTCCCCAAGCGGGTGGGTGGTGGGGCTCGGGGCAGAGGAAGGCAATGGATCTTGTTAGTGACAACCAGAGGGACAGAAATAAGTGGGTGAAAAACCCTGACCTTAAGACCCCTTGATGGCCAAATTGGCACTGGCGTTTGCTCAAGACATAACTAAACAAGTTAACAGAGGGATCCTAAAATTTGTCTCCGTTGGAGTTTGGTTTGTGAGGTTTATGATGGCTGTTTGGTTTTCAGTGTGGTGCAGTGCATCATTCCCTGTCCCATTTGATTTGTCTTTATTTCTTGCTGTTTTCTAAGTTTAGGAATTCAAATATGGCCTCAAGTCTGGTGGTTTCCTTCAGGAAACAAAGCCCCTGAAGTCAAGCTTTTCTGGGCTGAACTAGGCCAGGCCAGGCAAAGCCCTTTTGCAGACGCCTGCCTAGGTGTGGGATGGCCTTTGAAAGTAAGACCGTCACACGGCAGCATGGTCAGATTTTGAAGGATGGAACCCACATGGAAGTAATGAGATGAACATGGGTTTCTACTTGGAGAAAAGCAGTGATAAAACTTCCTGGTGGATTAAAGTCTTGGAATTGCCCAGGGAAAACACCAAATCATTTTTAGTGCTCTCTACTTGGCAATGCATGTGAATCAGTGCTGGATGCAGTGTACCTTTTTGTTTTCCTCAATTTTTCTTTCTTTCTCCCTCTTCCAAGCTTCAGAAGAGGAAAGCGGAAAGCCTTTCCAGTGTCCGATATGTGGTTTGGTTATCAAAAGGAAGAGTTACTGGAAGCGGCACATGGTGATTCACACAGGTTTAAAAAGTCATCAGTGTCCTCTCTGTCCATTCCGCTGTGCTCGCAAGGACAATCTCAAATCCCACATGAAGGTAAGCCACCTGCAGACGGGCCTCCCAGAGAGGCAGGCGCAGCTGGAGCTCTTGCACACGGTCCAGTGCAGGAGGCTTCGAGGCAGGAGAGGGGCCATGGGTGGGTCCTACGGAATGTAGTGCTCATTGTCTCGAGGTCGGGTGCAGCACCCAATGAAGCATGTGGCGAAGGGTCTCCTTTGTAATGCTACTCCCGTCCTTTTTAAAGGCAAAGAGAAGCTTCGGTATCCAAACAATAGACGTAATGTAGGGCCCTTTCCTACTGGGGAGCAGCAGCCTACCTTGGCCTTGCATGGCAATGCATGTCTGGGACGCTGGGAGGAAGACTTAGGCAAGAGCAAGGAGCAGGAAAGACCAGTGCAGGACGGGCTGCTGGACCCGTGCCCCAGAGAGGGGTCCACCCTCTTCTGCTGTTGCTTTGCTCTCCAGCTTACAAACCCACAGGAACACCCAGAGGCTCCTTATAGGAGGTGTGAGGACCTTGAAAGACACCTGGGCTCTAGCTTTCGCCCTGTGTGAGGCTTGGGGTTGCTATTCCTGACAAGACTGGGCCCTCCCAAGGCTGTCTGTGTGTGTGCTGTCCTAACTCCCAGGATCACAGTTACCAAACATTTAAGGACATTGTTTTCACTGTCTTATTAAAAACAACTGTGTTTCACTCTTATGTGACATGGAGAAAACTTAATCATCTCGAAATCTCTCTGGCAGACCCCATTACTAATAAAGGTTTTCTCTGAAATCCAAGGAAGAAAATCACGAGATCAAAAGAGCATGGGCTCTTGAATTTGATAGACCTGCATTTAAATCTTATTGTGCAACTTACTAGCTAAGTGGCCTTGAGCAAATGAACTTTAGGCTCTCAATTTTCTCATCTGTTCAAGGAGAACGATAATGTTTATCTGGAAGCGTTGTCATGCGTATTTAAGGAGATAATGTTAGCAAAGTTATCTGACACAGAAATGTTCAATAGTAAGTTATTTAATCTCGATAACTGTCTTTGAACACCTTTATTTTCCCATTGATATTTTCAGTACAGCTTGGCTGTTGACGTTGTTTATAACGTTTTTACTTTCCTGCCAGAAGAAGCGTAGTGAATGTACATAATCAAGATATTTGCTTTTTTTCAAAACCTTGTAGTCTATTCCGTCTGAATAGATCAGTGATGACTGTATAGAATTGTAGTTCTAAAAAAGTGTGATCAGACAGAACCTCTCCTGATTTTAGGAGATAGCTTAGAAGATTAAAAAGAAAAATTAAATCCATGATGTAATTTGTATTCTGTCATTTGCCTTTTTCTCCTGGGATTAGCTTGCCCTTCATCTTCAGAATCCATTGAACACCAGGAGTTCTGGTTGGTTGGATTTTACTGAGCCTACTTAGGTTTTCCATTCCCCTCCTCATCCTCTATTACCTCTTCCCAAAGCAAAATCTCGTATTTTATACCTGCAAAGTGGATTTCATTAGCAGGATGAGACTTCAAAAGGAATGCCTTTAAAACTAAAAATTGTTTTCGTTACTGTGTCCTACGCTGTGTTTAGAAATCAGGTCTGGCAAATTTAAAGCTTCGGTGAGCAGAAAACTTGCATCTAGCCTGACACCTTGTAAGCTTGGTTTCAGCTCAGGGTCACATAAAACAACCTATTTATAAACCCATGGAAAAAAAAAAAAGCTGGGTTTTCAATAGCAGGAAGTACTGACCCTGAAACTACAGGGAGATGAGTTGGGTGCCTTGATGATACAGACGGTCGGCCATGACAGTGTTACAGATGAGAGCTGCAAGGGCTTTGCGGGTCGCGGGGTCTCAGAATGCTTTCAGAACAAATCAATAACCGGTACAATAAAGCAGTTGTGTGAAATTACTACTTTATTCAGACTCATAGTGTCCTAACCTGTTGAGCTACGACTCCGAGCTTTTGATAAGGGAAGTGTGAGAAGGGCTCATGCAAGTTTAATTTTATCAAATGGTGTACTCTTTCTTTTCTCTGTTCTCCACCCCACCGATGGGCCGTTTTCTTTCTTTAAAGAATCCATGCTTTTGTTTTGACTTGACGTACTTTAATTTTGAGACATTTTATAAACACAGTTTACGTAGGGGTAGAGTTGCGGTGGTCTTGTGACTAGACATCTTCTGCTGCATTCGCCAGAGACTAAAAATATGAATGGATTTTCTACAACAAATCCAGCCTGTGAAGTGGGGGCATTGTCGCCCGTAGATTAAGATCTCACACTGAGTGTGGGGTCAGAAAGACCTCAGTTAGAATCTCAGTTCCACAACTTTTAGTAGCTGTGAGACTTGGGGCGAATCATTTAACCTCTCCCAGCCTTCATTTCCACTCGTGGAGATAATCATCCGATCTGTTGCCTGGAGTCGTTATAAGGGTTAAATGAGATAATGGACATAAAGCAACTGAATACAGTGCCCGGCACAGAGCACACCCAGGAATTGTAGCTAACCCGGTCATTTTCATCCAAGAGTTCTCGGAGTTAGCGTTTACATTTGGAAATAAAGTAATGACGTGGGATAAAAAATTATTCTAAATTTTATTGCCTTTTTCTTTTCGTGATAAATCTTTAATGGTGACAATTTAGGAAAACCGGTAAATGACAAGAATATAAAATTGATCCTCGATCCCATCACACAGAAATAACCATTATCATTCTAAGGGATATCCTTCCATATTGATGCTATTGACTTAGTTAAGACGAATTGGGATTCTACTTCATTTGTTCAACAAGGACAGTATTTACTGTGTTCCCACTCGGTGCTGGGCACTGTACATTTTTTTTTTTTTTTAAACTTGCCTTTTCTTCCTCCGTATATCTCGCCAACATTTTTATGGGCAGCTGAGGAAGGAGCTTGTAAATGCCTCCAGCTTCCTCAGGGTTATCTTAGATTTCCATTAAGTCTTTTACAACTTTCCTGGATGAGTGAGCATATAGGAATTAAATACGAAATTCATAAGCCAAGATGGAACAGAAAAGGTGAGGACTGTTAAAATAAAGCACAGTGGTGAAGTAATGGCAAGAAACTGGGCAAGGGTCAGAGCGCTGAGTCCTGCTGGTCTGGGGCCTGCCACTTAAGGGGCTGTGACTCCTGAGGAGCCTCCTTCCCTGCCCGGCCCGGTCCCCTAAGGGGCTGGAGCAGGTGTGTGTCAAAGCTTCCTCAGGTTCATCCCACCGCCACCGGGAGATAGACCTTATGATGTAACAGTGCCTTCTCTTTCCCACCCCTTAGGTGCTCTCGCTGCAAAATGACCAGTCCGTCAGCATGTCTCTGTGTGGCCTGGAAAGAATGATATGCTTTAGACAAGCGTTTCTTCACGTTAGCGGACTTCAAAGGGTTTTAAAGCCAATGTTAGGCTAAAGAGATTAAAAATCATCACAGAAAGTGCTTTTCTGTCAGGACAGAAGGGAAGAAACTCAGCGGTAGGACATAGGGAATACTTCTCTCAAAGGCCCAATGCGACATCTCGCCCCTTTGGGAAGGTGTAGCTCAAATAAAATGACAAGTTTGAGAATCAACACCACGGGCCCTGTTCCTCCTTGAAACCGACACTGATTTTTCCACAACTAAATATAGCAATGCCAGGATCTGGTGCAAAAGAAGCCACGTAAAAATACTTGCGCACAGACGCTTTTCAGTCCAGGGCTCCCTTTCGACTTTAGAACTTGGGCTCCCTCTCTGTCCTTTACCTTCTTCCAGAAGCTGCTTCCGGAGCTTCTGTTCTTGGATTAGCTCCTCTCCTCTCCCGGGTCAATAGATGTAAGGACACTTCTGAAATGGAATCTGCCCCATTGCACTGCTCCCGGGACGACGGAAGCGTTCTGCCTCGTGACCTTTACCACCTGGTTCCGGGCATGCTCTAGGCAGCACCTGTCAGGGTCCTGTGGGGCTGTGACCCGAGCCCTCAAGGTGCCCTGCTCCTGTGGGAATTGGGTGGAGGAGATGGTGGGGAATCTTCAGGATTCTGTGAGAAAGCAAAATGAAATGATCAGCTCCAGACTGAAATCCCTTTGTTGCGAAAGAACAGAGAGAGGTGATGTTAACAGCCAGTGACAAACGCGTCCCGAACCCCCCAACCCCTCCCGCCCTGGCAGAGGGGAAGCCTTTTAATGAGCAAGGCCTTGCTGCAACTGAATTGAAATTTATATGGTTATTTCTGAGAAATGCATGCTTTGGGGGACCCAGAATCTCTTCAGCTGTTTTTTTCAAAAAGCCACAGTGGGGTGCTGTAGCGACAGGATCTCACCATTAACTTTTAATTTCTTTGCTTTTGTTGGTCACTCAACATTATTTAAAAGTATGTTTTGGCTGGTGAATAATGCTTTTGGATTGCATTCAGAATGCGTAAACAGCTGTAGTAAAACTTGCTCTCTTGGAAAGGAAGCCTACGCAGAGGGGCCAGGTGGTGCAGTGAATTAACGAACTAGCCTTTAACCTTCGTTAGACCTGGGTTCAAATCCCGCTTAGGTCACTCCTGGAAGATGAGGTGTCAGTTCTGTTTTGGTTTTGAATCCCAGTCACTTGCTTGTCCAGATCCCACAGCTCCCCGAATCATTTGGCCCAAATCTACACAATTGGCAGTTTCTACGCAAGGGAGGGGCAGTCCTGAAATAGCAGGGTGTAGCAGGTCAGCACTGAAGTACATTGGCAGAGCTCAATGGGGAAGTTACGAGCTGATGAGCACCTGCCAGCTCGAAGCCTGGCTCAGTCTAGTGATTGATTTCCTCACTTTTTCAAGCACTACATTTGATAGGGACAGGAAGAAAAAAGCTTCTTCCAATTTTTTACAGGTACTGTGCCTGCAAGACTGGAACTGGATTTAAAAGTCTGCACTCTTTCATTGCAGACAGCAGAATCTGGAGCCCGATAGAACCACATTTGGAAACATTGCTTTCATCTTGCCGAGAATACTTGGTGGGGATCAGACCTTGGTTTTTCTCACACTCTACTTTGCTTGCTTCGTATGTGATTTTGCTCAAGCCACTTACTCTGGGGTCTCAGTCTCCCTGTCTGTGAAACGGGAATACCCCGGAGACCTCATTTTCCACATTCTTAATTACCTAGAGAAGCGTTTTGAAAATTGAAATTACGTTTGCAAAACAGAACTAATTCTCTGAGTGACAATAATCGGGTATGTGCAACTTATTATTATTGTGAGAGGAATTACTTGACAGGTTGCCTCTTTTGACCCCCAACTGGTAATTATGTAAGTTCGCACTGTGCTGGGTTTATATTTTCTCTGAAGACCCACCAAGATGAGATGACTAGAATATTAGGAGGATTCACCGGAAAACAGCCTCCATTGGCAGACAGCATCCTCCGTTGTGAGTGTGGCTCTAATCATGGGCTCTTAAGCTACGTGGATCCGCGTTATGTTTAGGGACGGACCTCATTAGCTGGAGCACGGTAAGGAAGTGCTGCTCTGGTTATTCTGTTTCCTGGGCCAGCCCTTGGTACTGTGAGGAAATGGTTGATGAGTAGTCTGGATATACAACAAGGCATTTTCCATAAGCACATGGTGGAGAGCTCATTCTTCTTGCTTCTTCGTCAGGTTCATCAGCACCAGGACCGGGGAGAGACCTTTCAGTGCCAGCTTTGCCCTTTCACTTCCTCACGCCACTTCAGCCTGAAACTCCACATGCGTTGCCATCAGCATTTCCTGAGGACAGAAGCCAAGGTGAAGGAGGAGATCCCAGACCCAGATGTCAAGGGATCTCCCCACCTCAGTGACAGTGCCTGCCTGGGGCAGCAAAGGGAAGGAGGAGGGACAGAGCTAGTGGGGACCATGATGACGTCCAACACTCCAGAGAGGACTAGCCAGGGTGGGGCTGGCGTCTCGCCTTTGCTGGTGAAGGAGGAACCCAAGGAAGATAACGGCCTGCCAACCTCCTTTACTCTGAATGCTGCCGACAGGCCAGCCAACCACACAAAGCTGAAAGACCCCTCCGAGTATGTGGCCAACAGTGCGTCAGCATTGTTCAGCCAGGACATCTCTGTTAAGATGGCGTCTGATTTTCTCATGAAGCTGTCAGGTACTTCAATAGGGTTGTGTTCTCTCTCTCTTTCTCTCTTTCTCTACCAGGATTCTCATCTGTAAAATGAGCTGGTAGTACTAGATGATTTCAGGGTCCCTTTAAATTCTAATCGTTTGCACTTTCATAAATTCTCTCCTTGACTTCCCCCCGCCCCAGTCCTTTGGAAGTAGGCATTGCTGTGGTTTGGGTCTAGAAACAACGGGGCTTGTTGATTTCCTTCCGGTTTTTCCCCTTTATGGGTTCTTGTTGTGGGGGACAGGTCGCATGGTCAGCCAAGTTGGTGATAGTTCTTTGTATGACCTTGGGCCATATTTAACTTGTCTCTGCATTTGGTTCTTTTAAAGTGCTTGTACGGAACGTCTCATTTTGCATTATGCAAGTTTTTTATTGCCTTAATTTGAAAGAGTTTTAAAGGACATATATACAGAGACTACTGTTAGGAATTATAGTTTTAAAATTTGTGCAAATGAAAGATTATCTTTACATTATTTTTTCCACTAGAAAAATTTTTATTGTAATAAAATATGCCTAACATGAAATTTACCATTTTAACCATTTTTAAGTAGACAGTTCTTTGGCATTAAGTACATTCCTATTGTGTAACCATTACCACCATCAATCTCCAGAACCTTTTCGTCATCCCAACCGAACCTCATACCCATTAAACAATAATTCCCCATTCCGCTCTCCCCACAGCCCCTGGTAACCACTAGTCTACTTTCTGCCTCTATGAATTTAACTATTTTAGGTACCTCATGTAAAGTGAAATTAAAAAAAACGAACAAACAACTTTTTAAAAAAATATTCTTTCCCAACTACCCCACTGCCTTTTGGAAAGAAGATGAAATATGTTATCAAAATTTATTATTAATTGACCTCATGTTCATCATCAGATTACACATGGTGTTTCTTTGTGTTTTTTGTCCTTTATTTTTCCCCCAATTTCTCTGATTAAGTTGTGGAGTTGAATAGGGGGTGTGGCAATCTTGAGGGAGTGCTTTTTCCTGACTATTTGGGAATGATAAAACATGACGTGGGATTGTGCTGCTACATGTTACATTTTTTAAAAGTATGATTTTAAATTGTAAAAGAGATGCGGTGGGTGGGGAAAGGTCGGCTGAGAGTTGGTTCTGTCTTTCAGTGAAGATGGCAGTCCCCACGATGATTTCCAAATGCCATTTCAGCTCTTTGGAGATTGACAATACCCTTTTAAATGGAGAATAATTGGTCACCGCCTTCCTTTAAATGGACTGTGAGTCGCATTTCACTAAATGTCATTGCCAGGTGAATTAGAGGTTCAGCTTCACTCGCTTGGAAGTCCCTTTGCTCAGTGACACTTCAGTCAGGTCTCTTGGAATGTCCCCAGCACCCTAGATCTTTGCCCCTCAGGAGCACACAACACTAGTTGGAAGAAATGAGGAAAGGTAGGGGACAGGAAATGAGGCGTCAGAAATGAGCCGGGGAGTCAACTGGGGCAGGGAATGTTACAGCCAGGAGCTCCAACCCGCCAACCCACAGCGTGAGTGCAGAGTCCTCCGCTGGAAATGGTCAGATCACAGGAAGCCAAGTGGATCTGCCTGTGGCCTTGAAGAACATGGGAGGGTGGCTCTCTCCTCTCCTCCTCTCCGCCCCTCCGCCTACTTTCTCCCACCCCAGTCTAGGGGAAAATGTGCTTGTAGAGTCTTCGAGTTTTATATTTAAACATTTTTGAAAATGTGGGGAAATGCATGATTCTAGTTTTCCTTTTGCTGCTGATCCTTTAGGCTTCACCTCCGGCAGGGGAGGGGGCGTGCAGGGTGTGCGTCTCTGGTTTTTCCTGGGTGGTCTCTCTCACCAGTATTATAGCAGAAAGGGCTCCTTTTCTGGGCTCTTCTAGTGCACTCCCAAGGGAGGGAATGCAAATGGCGTATTCAACTGGTGTGGTTTAAACATGGGATGTTTCCTTACTTAATAGACCGGGGGAGACTAAGGGGGGGGAGGGGCAGTTAGTAGCTCTTAGTATGGGGTTACTCCCTTTACTCCAGGACTGTAAGAAATTTTTAAATCTGGAGGAAGGGGAGAGAGGATGAAGGAAGGATTGGTCTTCGGATAAGACACTTGGTGTATGATACACTACTCCTGCTGGGCTCAGGCTGTAATTAGCTCCCGACCCAATCTCAGGGAGCATAAGATAAGGCCTGCTGAGAGCCCGCACTGCAAACAGGAGAGACTCAAGAGAAGCCAGTCGGGTAGGTTGGGGTGAAAGACTGCACCAAAGCCTCACACTGTGATCTGTTTTCTCAGTTAGTTATTGATGGGACTTGTTTACAGTTTGGCAGTGGGAGTATTTACTGACTGATCAATTGGCATAAGAAAACAGATAACAAATGCACACTATTTATGCAAAAGGCCCATGCAGCTATTTTCTGGTGGCTTACTAGAGGTCCTGAAACCTGACTTGTATGCACTGTTACCTAGCAACCTGTTACAAAGTCACTGGGGAGTGAGATGCATCGGTAATTTTTTGTGTGTGTGCATATTTGGATGTAAATGTAAACTTGGTGACTGTGGCCGTGCAGCCCACAGGAGGAGAAGATATGTTAAAAGGAAAGGAATACATTTTCTGGAGGAATTTTTTTTTTCTTTAATTTCCACCAACTCTCTGGTTGGTCGGGCCTTATCATTTATAGCTGCTGTCACTGGGGTGCTCTATGTGGCCTTGTCTGAGAATATGATCCTGGGACCCAAAGGCCAGATCCCAGGGAGCTGGGGCTGAGTTTCTAGCTCTTGCCATCCTCAGCTGTAGTACAGTATGTGCTTAGTATCAGGCCTTGTCCCTCGGTGTCATAACGGCGCCATTGTTCTTGCAATGAATTTTTGAGCTGGGCTCTGCGCGTGCACCTGCTGGGACCGTAGGGTGCAGCTGTTTGTGGGCACCAAGTCTGCGAATCTCTGTGCCAGCCACATGACTGCAGAATTGGAGCACAGTGACAGATTCAAGCGTGCACATACCTACTTGTTTCCCAAAGAGAGAGACAGAAAACACTTGATTCTTTCTTGCTTGGTTATTAAGGGAAGTCTTTCTTGCTCCTTCGACTAAAACTAAGCATCAGGATGACTTCATGGAACCCAGTGGGATTAAAAAATCACCGGTAGAATGCTGTTTTCAACAGACTCTAAATCCTTCTCCCCCCGCCCCACTCCCCCACCTCCATTTTAAGGTTTTTCCCAGTCTGTGTGATTGTGAAATCAAACCCCTTCTCCAATCTATCAACTATTCCTCTGCTGAGCCCACACTTAACATTCTGTAGTCCTTCAAGATTAATGTTGCTCCCCGAGAACCGAGGCTCCCAGGCTCAGCACCGGAGCTGATTTAGGGAAGAGGATGAGGAAGCCCGGGCTGCTGGCTTTCTGGGCTGATGGAAAAAATAATTTTGTAAACTTCGCTCAGGGTTTCAGCCCTGGAGGCAGGCCGTGGAGGGCTGCAGCCCTGTGTATTTGCATATTTCTTTCTTGGGAGCCAGAAGACCCCCGGCGCGCAGATGGTGGAATGCCAGAGCAGGTGATCCAGTGGTCACATGACCGGGGCATGGGGGTGGGGGAGGCACTCACTCAACCGTGGAGCACCTAAGTTCCTGCTGCTTCTGAGCCTTCTCTCCCTTAACTAGCACCAAGTGTAAATTCAGCGGCACATTATACTTACCTGGGGAGTTCCTTAAAAATGCCAAGGGCCCAGCCCCATTCCCAGAAGTTAGGATTTCATTGGTCTAGGAAAGGACCTAGTGCCTAGTGATTGGCATTTTCTTTAAAATCCTCAATGATTCTCATATGCAGCTGGGACTGAGGCCCACTGATGTGGAATACGCACTTGGTACCTGATACAGTTTTTTCAGTACAGCTGTAGTGTTGCGGTGTTTTTGGGTTTTGTTTTTGTTTTTTCAGTACAGCTCTCCTTCCTTACTTTCTATTTCGGACCATGAAAAGGGGCCTAGTGGGTGGTGTGAGATGAGTCTGAGGCATTCACCATAGGTCAAGGTTGACATGAATAAGAGGCCTGGTTGAGTCATGGCCACTGAGCCCCTTGTTTTTCCTTGTGGGGCCTCATGACAGGAGAATTAGAAGAAGCATCTTAGTGTGTTCTCCCGTGAGAACCAGAAAGTCTCAAGACTCATCTAGAGCATCAAGGGGCTGGGAGTGTCATCATCAGATGCCTGACTAAAAGTTGCTTGCAACGGCCTTTACATCATCTCTCTTCCTCAAAGCTACACTTTTCAAGATAGAAAATTTAATTCTAACTCTCCACATTGTAACCAAGCAGTTGACAGAAACTTGGCGCCGTTGTAGGCTGGGAATATCTTTTTGTCCCTGGTTTTCCAAAATAAAAGATACAAGTCATTTCAACTATTTTTAATATGGAAGCTGGCAAAAAAAAAAAAAAATTCATACTGTCTCCCACATTATATTAATTTTGTAAAATGAAGTCCAAAATAATTTTAACTAGAAGAGATGGCATTTTTAAAGCAGTGACTTACAAATGGGTACAGGCGGAACTGTTTCTGATTTATTAGGAGCTCTGCCGTAATAGCAGTGGCTTTCTTGGACCAAGACAGGTGAGTTGGGGACCGTGTTTGTGTGCTGTCTTGCAGTTTCCTGTGGGCCTTTGTTCTTCCGCTTCCATCTATTTCACACAGTTTTCTACATCTGCAGTTACAAATATAGTTAGTCTGTAAATGGCAGCTGCCCTATCCGGTGAAGCCTTTGTTTGGCCGCTGGAGAAGGAGGGATAAGATGCGCTGTAAACCAGGTAGCCCTCACTGCCTGGGGGCTGGGGCTCTGATTGGCTTTCAGTACAACATCTTTCCACATGAGCCTTCTTGTAAGTAAATGCCAGCCCGTCATGCCGTAAGACTCCCATACCAGTAGCCAGGGGCTCCCACTTCCCTTCGCTAAATGTGCCTTCCCCAGTGGTTTTATTTTTTTTAAAGATTTTATTTATTTATTTGAGAGAGAGAATGAGA